AAGGGGTAGGTCTCTACCTAACGGTAAAACCAGTACCCTTAAGTTCTAACCGCGAATATATAAATATCCAAATCTTATTTATATATATAATTTTAGTAACAGTATTCGGTTTTAGTCTATTATATTTATTGACTAGTTCTGAGTTAGCGTAAAATAATATACGATACTTAGGTATAATTCACGAAAGAAGCCCTATAAAGAGTCACTTTAGAAGGCTATTCTAGTAACCTAGGCTTTTATTATCTTATTAGTTAAAATAGTCCTACTTAGTTATAATTTTTTGTCTGTATTACGGATATCGGTATATAGTACTTCCTAATTAATATAGGTATAGATTAGGTAGTAGTATAACGATAATATATATATATATTAGTTTCGGTAGCGGAATAATAGAATTATACCTAATCGCTTACTAATATCTTAAAATATAGTATAGTAGGCTAGGCTTATTAATAACCTTGTCTCACTTTTATTTATAAATATACTTTCTATAGTATATATATATAGGTTCCTCTACTCTTATATAAAATTTATCTACGATAGCGTAGTTAAATCCTAAATATAACGGTCTTCGCGATAAATTACGTCGACGATTAAACTACTTTCGAGATAGATCCCGAGGTCTATTAAATAAGGAAACCTAAGTATAAGCGCTTGCTATAACTAAGTTAGTTACTCTATTCTTTTACTACTTACTACTAATATAAAAAAAGCCTATTATCCCTAACTTAAAATCAAACGCGCGACGATATATTTAAGGCTATTAAAAACTATAAGGTATATAAGGAATCTGTAGGCGTCTAAAATACTATCCGAATCTAACTAGACTAGATAGTTCTCTAAGTAACTAGCCTAGAGGCGAATTTAATAGCGTCTTAGTATATTCCTAGGGGTAAATTAGGTAGCGTCGATATCTCTTCGGGCCTCTAGAGTATAGTATTTCGTGAGGTAGTAGAAGGTCTTCGGGAGGATATTAATATTATAACTCTTAAGGGGAAAGATACCGCGTAGTTACTTAAAGATCTCGAAGATATTATAAAAGAGGTAATATAGATATCGATATTCTAGAAGGGGTTAAAATACTTATAAACCTTATAAGTATCCCTCCAGAGGTTTAAAGACGTATTAGACCTAGTAAGTCTACTAGTAAACCTTAAACCTACTACCGTAATAGTTATTAGAGTAGTTCGAGGCTTAACTATAGTAAGTTTATAAATAAAATATACTTTATACTAAATTAGTAATTTAGCTAAATATCCTAACTTAAGATTTATATAGATCGTAATTAGCTTCGTAAATTCTAATTCAGATTTCGCTAATAAGCTTAAAAGTATACTAATATATATTTTATATATCGATAAGTATAATATCCTTAGTCGGAAGGCGGAGGAGAAGAAAATTTACCGGGTAATTTTTAAATATAAAACCTTACCCCTTAGATAATATATTTAATAAACTTTAATAGATACTCGTTTTAGTCTACCGAAAGATTCTAGAGTTCTACTAAGCGGTATATAAGATACTCGTAAGAAAAGGAATATAGTTTATAATAAAAATAGTCCTAGAGAGTAATCGCCTCCCGAATATTATCTAAGATATTATAAAATACTCCGATATTCTCTATAACCTTATATAAATAATAACGCTTAAAATCCTTTAAGATATTAAAGATAGGTTAATCTATAAGTAAGATATTTTTCCCCGATAATATTTAATTATACCTAAGCTAATTTTTACTAGTTTATAGTTAGCTAGGTACCGAGAAGATAAAAGGCTAAACTTACTACTATAATAAACTTAAATTTCTACGAGCTAACTAGGCTTATAACTTTATTTTAAGAGATTCTAATTTTAGAGCCTAGTACTATAGCTCGGGTTCTCGACTACTAGTGATTCTCGGTAAGATAGGCTATAGTAAGACCGTTCTTATAGCCTATATTATAGATTAACTTTATTAGAGGAAAGGCGATTAACTCCCGAATCCTAAGATATACTATTATTATTACCGGGAAGATAAGACCGGGAATATAGTAGCGGTACTATCTGCTTTAATACTATCGCTTCTTTAGTAGCTACTAGGTCTTAAGAGGTATTTCTGCGATTAGTATAACGAGAAATAGGCTCTTAGATATTACGATCTAGTAGCGAGTATTAAAAGCCTTAAAGAATACTTATAAAATATATTAGAAGTAATTAATCGCCTAATTTTCTTTTTGGTCGATAGTATTAATAAGTATAACAAAAATTCTATAAGAAGACTTCTTAAATTATTAAAATATCTCTCGGTAAATATTTCGGGCCTTAGAATTCTTATCTCTTCTCGACCGTAGGAAAGGATACTTAGCTAGCTAGATAAAATCCCGAGTATCGTAGTTAGCTTAGGTACTTAAAGAGATATAGTAATTACTAAGAAAATCGCTAATATATATCTACCCTACCTAGTAGTAGAGCTTAGGGCGCTAGTAATAAAGGAGCTATTACTACTAGCGTAAGGGAGTGCTATATAGACGAAGATAGTAGTATAGCTTCTTAAACTCCGCGATATTAATAATAAGGATTAGATACGACGCTTTATAAAAGAGGTAGTACTACTATAAGATCTATTAAAACTCTATACTTCGTTACTCTTCCGATATACTAGGAACGATTCGGAAAATAATTAGCTTACCTTTATAGCGTTAAAAATTCTTTCCGCTATTTATAGACCTTTAAGTATTATAGAACTAGCCTAGGCGGTAACTTTAAGTATAACTAATAATATTACTACCGTATATACTCTCGGTAAGTAGGTCGACTATCGGAGAATTATAGGTCTTATTTACCCCTTTATCTCCCGCGTCGACTTTAACGATCTAAAGAAATATTAAGTTCGACTCGTACACTAATTAGTAAAAGATTTCGTCTAAGGAAACTCTATTTTAAAATATCTACGCCCGTAATATACTATAGCGGGAGAGACTAGATAAGTTTTAGTAATCTAATACCCTAAAAGACTAGTAGTATTTATCCTAAGTATCTATATTAGATATCTTCTGTTAGATAAGATCGGATCTAAGAACCTATTCTCCGAAGAGTAAGCGGTAATCATAGAGCTACCTCAAGAATATAATATATTTAGTAATAACGAAAAGCCGGTTAAATATAACCCTTATTATATATAGGAGATATAGGAAGAGAATATAATCCGCTTCGAGCTAAGTAAGAGAGGCTTTAGCGAATTCTTTATCTATATATTATACTATTAGTTAAAGTATTTTAGCGTAGTTAAGGATAAACCACTCCCTAGCCTATCGGATATAGAAAGATTATATTAAGTAGGATTAATTCGACTTCGTAACTAGATCTAATAAAACTATTACCTAGGCTATACTATCGCTCCTAGATTTAAGTTTAACTATAGGCTCTATAATCCTCTATATATTACTTTACTCTACGGTTCGGTACTAATACTTCGTGATTTACTAAAAAGTTCGAGCTTCGCTAAGGATACCTATTTTCTAAAACTAGCTATAGAGGTAGTTTATTAAATCCTTAGATAGGGAGATATTTCTAGACTACTAATACTATTTTTAGACGATTAAGTCGGTTAGTAGCTATAGAATCTCTATTTTTTTCGAAGTATTATTAAAGTATAGCAGAATCCGCGCTAATAAGCCTAGGAGGTCGCTATAGGCTAGAATTCTGATAAGGTTACTAACTAGAATAATTTATTCGCGCTCCTCGATATCGTACTAGGGAGAATGGTTTAGGAACAATAGGGAAATAAACTCCTATATATAGTAGCTAGCGCGGGTTATATACTAGTTATCTAGGGTCTTATAGATAGCGCCCGATAAAATAAGGAGCTCCGAAATGAATTACTCCGTCGATCCCGGGTCGAGCCGTAATAGATAATATTTAAGCCGGTATATTAATCTCTTAGTAAGGCTATTCTGAGAAATCGCGTTAACGTAGTAGGGTACCTAGTCAAGGTAGATAGTATTAATACGTATCTTCGGTACTAAAACTCTCGCGGTGAAAATATTTTGTATTTAGTATCGATAATCTGTAACCCTAAGATTTTCCAAATTCTTACACCTCGTTTTCCGGAGGGAATAAACTAGAAAGATTGTCGAGGCGATATACCCTTACTTAGGGTAATTATAAATTTTTCAGCCTTAGGTAATCGGTTTGAATTAGCACGAATTCTTCTCTCGTAGAGTATATATTAGTAATTCGCTAAGAAGTATTACCGTAAGCTATTCCGAAACTTATTTAACGATTTCTAAGTTCTTAAAGGTATTATTCTAGGTATACTTAAATTAATAGGGTTAGTTACGGCCTATCGAGTGCCTAAGTTCTCAGAAGAATCTATCTCTTTTGCCTAACGTTCCTTAATAAATAGAGCTTTAGTTATATAACGGCAGCCTAGGGAAACGGGAGGCCTAATTAATTAGGATAACCTAAGTGCTAGGAAATCAGCTATCTAAAGTACTAGCCGTTACCTTAGTTATAAGTATCTATACCTACTAAATATTTCTGGCCTTAACGTAGAGCCTAGCCTATTAATTAGCGATGAATAAGCTAGATCGAGGTAGTTTTATATAGGTTTAGAGGCCTATAGCGGAAGCGCGATTAATGTTATCCAGTTGTTCGATGTCTATGCGTAGAGCGAGGGGTCTGTGCCCCGAGAGTGAGAGATAGGTGATCTATACTGGTTGTTGTGTTGGAGAATCTCACCCTGTCTATCGCACACCCAGGCTAGTCACCCCTGGTCGCGCGACAGAAGATATTTGAGGATGGAAAGGCACCCCAGGCCACTACTGGCCGTACTTAAGCCACACGCCGGCCAGTTAGTAGTATGGTGGGTGACTATATGCGAATCCTGGCTGTTGTATGTTTTTGCGTGACATTCATTGCTTCCAGCTCGATGAGTGGTCGTCAGTCGTGCGATGCTAGAGATGCGTCTTGTTTTTACCCATGCACCCAGCACATCACATCCTCTGGCATGAGAAGCAGCTAATCATGATTCAGGGGGATTGTCGACATCGTTCAAACAACTCAAGGCAAACCTGGCTCTCTCGGCGGTAGGTGCACTGACAGGAGTCGGTGTCCCTATGGCTCTATCATTTGTACTGATACGTCTAGTTGGCGCAACTCCTCTCCAGGCATTTGGCGCTGGGGCGGCGTTGTGTTCAACAAGCATTGGTACGACGTTTACAATCCTGTCCACAACTGGTCTCCACAACTCAAGACTGGGGACAGTCTTGAGCGGCGCCGCCATGATGGACGATGTCGCAGGCCTAGTCATGGTCCAGATAATATCGAACCTTGGTGGTTCTGGCTCTGACTCGGTCAGTGCAGCCACAGTGGTTCGCCCCATATGCGTGGCGATTGGTTTCGCAATTGCCGTGGTTTTCATTGCCGGCCTTGTGGTCAAGCCAGTCTCGCGCAGGCTGGGATCAATGAACCTGGGTTCTTTACCCCAAGGCTATGCGTGCCCCGTGACCTTCGTTTTGCACATGGCGACTCTGATCGGGTTCGTGGCGGGAGCATCCTATGCCGGCACATCCTCCCTCTTTGCTGCCTATCTTGCTGGCGCCAGTATCTCCTGGTTTGACGATCTCAAGTCTACAGCCGAGGAGAATCCACATGTCGGCGGAATCACACCCGCCGCTGAAGGAGCAGCCCATCAATCAGGCATTGAGATGGCAGATCAAAGCGGAGCTACCGTCTCTTGTTCGACCGAGAGTCCCGAGCAGGACACGGGTTTGCGTTCGAGCTGTGCGTTAAAACCCTCCAGAACCATCACTGGTCAAGACACCTTTGAGGCTTACTGCTTACAACCACTTCACTTTATTCTTTGTCCTTTCTTCTTCGTAGGTCAAACTAATCTTCATCATGGATGCAGCGCACCTTTTACTAACATCGGTAGGCATCCATCGGTTTTGCTATCCCTATCACAAAAATGTTTCAAGGGCAGGTTGTCTGGCGCGGCATCGTATATACTATTCTCATGGCACTAGGCAAAGTCGTGACAGGTATCTGGTTGCTGCCTGTCTCGACCAATCCAATGGCTGGGCTCAAGAAGATGAGAAAATTAATTGCGATTCTGCTCACATGGTGCACATCAAAAACACGAAAGTCGGCGACAAAGCAGGGTCGTGCAATAGACCGAAAAGAGCGCAAATCTACCGCTGGTTCACCCCTATCAAGGACTGCTCTGTCAAATCAACAACCTGCCGATGTCGCCAACACCCCTTCTACTTCTGACACCACTTCTTCTCTGAAACCGCATCGGTCTCTCTACCCGTCTTCCATTTTCGGACTAGCGATGATCGCACGAGGTGAGATAGGTTATCTCATTGCATCTGTGGCAGAGTCGGGCGGCTTGTTCGCTCAACCGGAAAAGGGAGACAGCGGAGGCGACTCGGAGATATATTTGATTGTGATATGGGCCATCACTTTGTGTACGATTATAGGACCAGTCTGCGTGGGGACGCTTGTCAAACGCGTGAAGAAGCTGCAGAGTCAAAGAAGTCAATCTGGGAGTCCGGATCCCCTGGGTGTGTGGGGTTTGCCTTAGATGGCGATCCTTCTTCTCGTACATAATTGCCAGCAATGAATCAAAACGTCGGAGATTGGATTGGAACGGCTTTGGGATGTCCCATCATAGGAAAGCCGCGCAAGGAACACAAGCACACTCATGTTGGGTATATCATATCTTCGTTCTCAATTTTCTGTTGTACAAGACCGAGTACACTAAAGTCGAGCTGACTTGCAGTATTCCATTATTTTAATCCCCCGAGTAGAACAGACGCCGACATCTCGTAGGCCTGATGTTTGGCTTCCGCCTGAGGTGTTCCCTCCTTAGCTTCCTTATCCCAGCCATGGGTACAGTCGTCCATCCTCTTGCTCAACACGTGTTTGCCACCACCATTCCGAATCTTATCAGCCAAGGCCTCGGCCTCAATAGTAAATGGGCATTGAGCCGCCGTGATAATCAAGACATTATCAGGAAAAGCCACTGACTCGGCGTACGTTGGCGACAGGCGAGGATTCTTAGTGTCTGCCGCTGAGAAGCCGAGACACTTATGGCACAGATGAGAGAAAATAGGGAACAAGCTGCGCATAACAAAGTTCGATCGATCCACGACGGTCTTCTTCGTCGTGGGAACGCTCATATCAACGCAGCCATAGAACGAAATCACCGTGCGAAACACATTATCGTCTTGATTCCGCCGAGGCCGAGAGTATGTGCACGACAATGCCAGGGCGATATTCGCGCCCGCGCTGAATCCTGATAATGAGATTCGCTCAACGTCGAATTGATCTGGCAGGGATTGTACCCATGCGACCGCATCTTCGGCGTCATTCACGGCGGCCGGGAAGGGATCCTCGGGCGCAAGACGATACTGGACGTCGATGACAGTGAAGCCGGTCTTATCCGCGATGAAACGGCAGTACTCATCGTCTGCGCCAAATGCAGGAAGTATGTAGCCACTGCCGCAGAAGTTGATCAAGACGGGCCGTGGTGCTTTGTGTTCCTCCTTGGCTGGCTTGTAGATATGGGCTTTGATCACTCGGCCCGTATCCCGCGAGGGGATTGAAATGACTTCATCTGGTTTTGGGTCCACCTTTAGCATTGGGCGGATGATAGCCCTGAAGAAGGTCGCGATGGACTTGTGGTAAACATAGGTCAGGCCCATTTCTTCTCAACTGGCGGAAGGCTGACTATGATTCTGCTGGTGAGAATGGGTAGCTGAGTCACGCTTCGGCCAGTCGTGTCGGGTAAGCCTTGCACACAGGGTTGCAAGAATTGAAATTGGACGAGATCTCAATAGCAGAGTAGACGTCTTTGAGCAAGCTTGACTTTTCTCATCTGTAGATATAGACTGCAACAAGATCAAAGTGGCATTCTAGGGGTCGTCCGTCGTGCCATCAAGCTGTGCCTACCGATCGTCATCTCGATGCGGCTACGTCATGTATCCGATGAGCAGTGCATCCCGATCACGAATACCCAGAGCGGGCGGCCATCAAGGCCGTGCTGACTTGACTTGACAAGCTGAGATTGGAAGTGTTTGAAATGTGATCAAGTATTCGTGACAACAGAGATAGTAACAGTCATCAGATAATTGTAGATGGACTTTGTTCCACAGCTCAACCCGTTGTGTAAATAACGTGGAAGCGCTACGATGACGGAAAGGCCGATCGGCTGCAATGGCGGATCTCTGCAGCCTGAGCCCTGATTATGACTTATGACAAGCATTTCCCAGAAATTCGAATACTCCTGATGTCCTCTAGTTGTGGGCAGGCTATTCGTGACATTTCTGGAAATTGTACTTGAAGCTTTCCCTAGGGTTGGTCAAATGCGAACGCACCCCATGCCTTCGACGGCTCGCAGGGAGCCTCCGGCTTTAGCATTCGACCCGCATGAAGCTTACTTGAAGGTTTGACCTTGACGTTCAAGATAGCTACATCGTGCGCTCGTCTATAGAGGCATCCATATGGATGCTCATCCAAGATGAGGTGAGTCCTACGCTTCAGCGTTGGCCCTGCATGTCATCGCGGTCTTGAATGAGCCTGGCTCGGGTGGTAGCACCATGCCCGAGCAGAGAAAGGTGGCTAGTCATTTCCAAGAGAAAGTCAGCCATTCAGTCTGCAATAGAAAGGGGTTCTGGCTTCACACTTCGCTTGTCATGTGTGGGACGAAATGGCCAAGCTGGACATGACGAGCCTCCGCATGGGAAGATAGGGATCTGCTACGAGCGTTGCGATGACAACGCAATCTCTCAAGCAGGCTTGGCTTTTCCCCCATCTTTTGGCCTTGCGTCGGAGAAGCCGTTTGAAGCAACGGAGCACAGATCAAGTCAGCCATGCTGTTTCAGACTGAGAAGGTTGAGATGAAGTAAGTAGATGCGGGGCGGATTCATGGAAGGGATGTCCCGAGAGCCGATCCATGTCCGCTTCTGGCGATGGTAGCAAGATTGCAATGAACCAGCTTCTTGGCACAAAGAAAGGGGACAGAATCAGTGTGCAAGATCTAGTATGGATGCCGACCTTTGGTGGATGCGCTGTGTGTATTGTGACGTGTCGAGCTTCATCTAGAGGGTCCGAAAGCCTTGCTCCTCTCTTGGTTTTCGCTAGGTAGAACCGAGAGCAATGATCAGGCCTGATACGCTCAAGAATCCCTTTGGGGGCCCAGGTCGTGTCCAAGCCTGTGCAACATCCCTCATCAATGACCAGGGTCATCTCTTCCCAAACAGTGGTCATTGAAGTAGGCGAGACCACTTCAGTGGACTTTCTACCGCAATCTCATCATTTTGCACGGATAGCTCGCCTCGCCATGGCAATTGAGAAGGCACAACGGTGGACGGCGGGTCTTGAGTTGTGACTCTTTTGAAGATCGACGACTATCGCCCAAAGCGGTTCAAGTGGATTGGCACCCCCGAGCTTGGACCCGGTCATGCCTTGCGTTTCGTCTCAGTAGGGAGCAGCTACTGAGCGCCATCCCGTTTAATGACCGGAGTCTCGTCAACCCTCTCTATAAATGGAGACGTTGCTGGAATGAGTTTGCCCCTTTTAGGCGTACACGGATGGTGGAGCAACCTTAAAAGGATCCTGAAACGAACCTTGTGCTCGGCGGGGAATGAGATGGCTCGAGTGGAGTCGAGAGCTGTTGAGAACACTGGCGACGAGACTTGGATGCACTGAAGGTTATTCCCGCTCTGTGCATCCACTACTCAGTGGATGGCCACCGACGGGATGACGAGCCGGTAAGAATTAGCTTCTCCTGCCAACTTTGAGGCAACGCACGAGGCTGGGGGATTGAAACAGGCAGGTCAGTAAGCTGTGCAGAGCGAATTTTGGATGGAGCAATCACTACAAATTTGAATTTGAATTTCCGGACCTGTCGAAGGACGTCTCGCCAAGTTGATCATGCTTTGCCTTGTCTTTCCCATGTGTCGCATGTAGTGAACGAGAGCAAGCCTGATTCGAATTGTTGGGGACAGGACGCCGTAGCCTCTGAATTGGCTGGATCGATGCCCTGGAAAATGGCTGTAGCATTGGGAAACCATGGGTCTTCGACTGTGAATAAGCAAATCCCTGTGCGAGAGTGTTCTGTCCACGGTATTGGGAAGTTTGACCATGCCAATGCCCAGCCCTGTAGAATAGTGAGACAACTCAAAAGCAGTCCTCCCTGGGTTCCACGTGCCTTGGGGGGCTCTTGTTGCATGTCGACGTCTTGTTTGCATTGTTTCATGTGACTCTGCCTTTCACCCGAAGCACTCCGAGCTACGTTGATTGAAAGCCTACACAGTCCACAGCCTTTTGAGATTACCTACTTGCTACGAGCTCGTGGGTCTGGTGATAGATGCCCGTTGGAATGCCCAATTAGCGGTGAAAAGTGATTTGTGTCACTAACGAATCAGCATTCCAGTCCAATATTTGTACGACAACGCGACGCATGGTGAAAAAAGCAGTCAAGCAAAGAAGATGATTCTCAAGTGCCCACCTAATACCGTCAGGATTGAGCAAATGTTCATGACCCTAGAAGTTGATTGCTGTCCCCTATAGCTGCCATGTCTCTCCAAACCGTCGAGGCTCATCCGCGCAAGGATTGCTTTGAATGATCGGCATCTTCAAGCGGTACTTCGCTTACAAAAAGCCCCCTTGAATCACTCTGGACCGCCTCAACCTCCACCAACTCATGTGATCACTCGCCTTGTTTAGGCTCTCGGCATTCCTTTCTCTAACGGGAGATTTCTATTCTGTCTGTGATCCATTTTTTACAGATATTGCTTTTTCTCCCCTCATGTGTGTCTCATCCGGCGAGACCTCTTCCCCTATTGTCTGTCGTAACCACGCGAGAAGCTGAACCTAAATCAAGAACCATGCAAGCTTCCGCCCTAGCATGAACCGCGACCAACAGAGTCCTCATGACCCGAGAATAGATCTATCAAGCGCGTCACTAGATTCGTCATGCAGGTCGTGGGTGATGCATCTTCCCCCATCCCCGGCTCAACGCAAGAAGTCGACCTCGAAACCTGAAACATCCCATCAACGGTCTATTCTGGGCTAGAACCATCTTTTTAGTTTTCCACCTCGTGAGCTTAGGGATTGTCCTGCCAAATTCTGAGAGCTCCAGATGATCAAACGTGAGCAATGCCCGGCTGCAGGAGTTTGATGCCAAGTTGCGCCTCCCTTGACTCATGCCCTCCTCCTCGCGGGCCTCCCCTTCCTAATGCGGCCATGTCCGGTGGCCATTCCATCACATCAACATGTGGTCGGCCATGTGCGCATCCGTCCCTGGCATTTCGAGGCGTGGGCAGACCACCGCCACTTCTTTTGTCTACATTTTCCTATTTATCCATTTATGCATTTCATGGTTCGTTCAAAAAGGTGGATCTCCACTCGACAAGTAGAGCCGCCTCGTCCGCGTCCGCCACTTGAAACCAAGCGGGCATCGTCTCCACTCACTTGGCTTTGCAGCCGCACGCCCGAATATTCCTAATTCAGAATTCCTTCTCTTAGAGACCCCTCTCTCAACGACCCAGTAAACGGCCTGCTGGAGCTCGGTTCGCTCGATGAGGCCTATGCTGCGAGCCCGCCAAAAGCTGAAACACCCGAGTATTCACGGTCCAGAATTCCAGGCCCCACTCTGAATAGTTAGTAGTACCTTCGAGTAGGTAGTTCACGCGGACGAACCTATTACCTACCGTCATCGATGCCCTTTTAGGAAGCTCCCATCCAAAAAGGATAAGGTACGTGCCACCCGCATAATGAAGAAGCTCACCTGGAGCTGGCTGCAGATCGTCGGCTGTTCCATTCTTGACTTCGCTTAGAGAGAAGGAGAGAGTGTCCGAAACAGCTGAACCTGGAGATACCATGTGGACCGGATATGCAAGGTCCTGTCAACATGCTCGCGTGTCTGTCAACGCTGCGGTTGAGGTGGAGCATGCCTCCATAGGCCGGTGGGCGAGTTTCTAACTGGGCTCATGGCTTCGTTGGTCCTATATAGAGGTATGATGTTGCCGTGCTTGGTTCGCTGAAATCAGTTACCCAAGCTCAAGGCCACTTCCAAGAAACTACAATCAGCTTAAACAACCTACAAGCAGAAAACAGATTCCATCGCCTCATACTGGCGCCTCTCCTTTGCTCTTGGATCTCCCCTTCCATCTTTCAGGAGGAACTCAGCAAATCAAGCAACTCCGTCGACCCTTCCTCCATCAACATCAAGCAAGAACTGTCTCGATCAATCATCCAACATGCCCGAATCAACATCCTCAAGGTACGCAAGATGCACACTTCCAGAGAGCGTTTTGCTCGAACAATCAATCGATCAATGGGCCAACGAACTAACATGTTCACTACGTGACATAGCTCCTGCAATCGTACTGGATGCAGTCCCTCTTCACCACTCAACTCCAACAATCTCAGTCAAGTGCCTCAAGCGAGCCAAGTTACTGTCAATCGCTTTGCTCGCTCATCTGCAGCCGAGAGTCCTTACTACGCCGGTGCACGTATCTCCGAGCGATCAAAACATTTCAACGGGCTTTCCAGCCAAGTGGATGCTGTGGATAAGATTTTGAAAGTGCAGAAATAAGGGGATATTGCACCCTTCTCATGTAGTGAGGGCTGGTCCCGGAACTACAAAAGACAATCATTTGAGTGGTCTTTGAGAGTTTCAGAATGTATTATACTAGCGGTTCCGTGACAATGTATCTCTCTATTTGCAAATCGGGGTGATCACATGAGAGATCTGTGTGAGGGGAAATACGTATCAACAGGTGAGTATAGCAAATGCTGTAAGAACGATCGCGTGGTGCCGGGGAAACACAATTCCGAGGGGGGCCGGAATTTTGACTCTCTCACTGAAGGATTTTTTCAATGTACGCGGCAACCTCTTCGTACTTGGTGCTTGGGAACTCGTGGCCGGCATCGTAAAATTTAAAGACAACATTCCCACCGAGAACGGCAGTAGCATCGGAGACAAGTTCATCTTTGATGATGATAGTATCCGTGTTACCACAGAGAATGTGCACTTTATGGCTCGGCAGGCCTTTCTCGGTCTTCTCTCCCCCGGTGCTATTCTGCGCACTCAAATAGTCACCCAGTCGGGTCCAGTGGACTTTCTGCCGCGAGCCTAGGATGGGGCCATAGCGCATGCTAGACATGAATGAATGGACAAAGCCAGCGTGATTATGAACCTGCCATGCCACGGCGGACGGAACAGTAACACGAGGGTACTCCCGAGACAGGACCTGATCCTCGGCCGCCTCATCGGACGGCAATTCCTCGGTCAGGGCGTCTTCGGCATTCAGCTTGCCCTGCTTGTCCTTCTTCGGTGCGACCATACGACCCGACTTCAGGCGACGACTTACCAGAAAGGCCAGCAGCCTTTCTGGCATAAGACCACCGGAGTAAAGAACGCGACCCTGGAAGCTGATCTGGGAGTCACGAACCAACCCAGCCGGTGCGAGAAGCACAAGAGACGACAGCAACTGTGGGAAGAATGATGCGAAGGCGGCGGCGATACCACCACCAAGGGAATAACCAACAAGGCTGAATTTGCCCGAGCTAGATCCGGTCCAGGAAATGGGCGATGTAGTCAATGCGAGCATGATTTGAGTGGCGAAGAGTCTCTCATCCTGTGGCATATCCGAGGGACAATCTGAGTAGCCTCTTCCAAAACTGCAAAAGAAGTCAGAGATCCATATAACTAGGAAATTGCCGGCCATAGACTTTTGAAAGTGGAAAATCTTTGCTGATACGGAACTTACAGGTCGAATAGCATCACACGGCACCCACGGTCGACAAGCGCATGAGCCACTCCACCTAGCGCGATACAAGGTGTCGTGATACCATGCACGAGCAATACCTTCGGGCCGTCTTCTCGCCCCCATTCATAAACACGAATTGACCCATACGGAGTTGCGACATCACGGCCGCCGGGCAACGCATCGTCCGGGAGTGGTAGTTTGCGCTTCTCTTCTTCGGAAATATGAGGCAACACTCGCGTGCGAGGAGAAGCAAGAATGGCCTCTTTGTGTGTGTCTCCTTTAAACAAGGAGCGAAGGAGCAGGCCGAGTGTGAACGAGGCACCCGTTACCGCCAAGAGGGGGAGCTGTGTCCGCTGGTTGGCCCAGGATTCAGAGAGGAAATCCACGGTTTGATGATACAACGCCATGGTTGAGAATGACTGTGCACTATCTCAAGACTTTAATTGCGCATATGATAGACTTCAAAGGGTGTGATAGAGCGACCGCTCGAGATCTTAGAATGTGTCGCGAAATCGCACGAAATTCGGGTGAAGAACTCAAGTCAAGGAATCGCCGACGCTGAGAGTGGAGACAAAATTGAAGGCAGGGGCCGAGGCAACCATGTGGCCGATAAGGGGAGATAAGCCTGACAGCCACGGCGCCCGATAAGAACCAGGGCACGTCATCGGGTATCTCCTTATCGATTGCACTCCAGGACTTACTGTTGGGACCTCGACCTTGCTACGCCCACCCACAATGGTACATCTAACGTCGCGTCAATTCAGCCTGAACAAAGTAGTAAGTTAGCAAACTTACCTACCTTATCGGCCATAAATTTTGATGAACTGTTTAACATGAGCTATGACTGGGGTCTTAGCAGGCATTGGGGTTTTATGACAGTGGGAGGCTGGTATCTATTGACACAGATCCTAGGTAAGATATATCCGTATGGGAGCAGCCTATACCTCTAACTACTACCTAGGTAAACGACCTGCGAATGAATCGGGATACTCCGCGATAGTCCTTGATGTTCTCAGTTTACCGTCTGCGATGACAAGCATGCCTCACCAGTTCAAAAGAAGAAATATACCTATGTTGCAAAAAATGTAATCGTTCGAGAGGCCACCCAACTTCCCTAAGTCAAGGTCGTTGCATACGAAATCCCAAATGAATGTAAAGTTGCCAAACTCCGTGACAACGGCATGAAGTGCGTATGTCTTTGACCTGGAGCCCACGAATTTCGATATGTATTGCGATTTGACACCCTGACAATGGATGGAAGCTGAGCTACCCACCTAGGCGAGTCAGTCAAATAAGTGATACGCTTGATATCTGGAGACATGAGGTGTTGAATCAATCATTGAGTAACACACATGTGTAGACAAAAATGAGCATAAGCCAGCCATCTCTGAAAGTGCTCTGCCTTCATTGACTGCAAAGTGCCTTTAACCACAATGCCCACAACACGCCCGGCTCTGTCCAGTCAACCAAATCTGCTGATGAGGGGAAAAAAGCCCCTAGCAATCATGAATCCGGGAGGGTTCCAGGGCGACGTTGATCATTTCCGGCCTGGTCATGGAGCAAGCAGCCGCAGTTCATCCATCCATTGTCTTCTCCGTTGACTGCTTGTCACGATAGATGGTGTCAAGGATCGTGACGAGAAACATGCGAGAAATATAACCGCTATCTTGACATCAGTCACCAGGTGCTGGGTTGTTCACGTCCACCTCAAAGGCTCGATAGAGTCGATACGATCTTGTTCTCACGCCTCAGATTCCGTCCCCGCAATTGCGATCGGCAGTCGCCAAGATGAACAAGCCTGCAAGTCCCCTCTTTCATTAATTTGTTCGTGAATGGCTGGCCGTGATCGATCAAGTTAGCCTTCCACCAGGCTTAGCTCGTCTTACACGAGGTCCGTTGGCGAGTTTTGTCCTCTGAGTATTATGGCTCGTCCATCAGATTCATCAGTACAGGTTGTCGGGATTTGACGATGGGAACCACAATCTCAAAACTGCTTTGCCTCCCAAATCGTGAAACATCACTAGTAAGTAAACAGCAGTGCCACAGCCATATATGAGCGCTATGGCTACGTGAAACCCGCCGCATAGCATCAGACCTATTAAAATTTGATCCGGATGCAGCCATGGGGTGGGATTCAATTCAAACAGCAGAGTGCTTCGTATCTGTTTCAAACGAGCGTGTGAGGAAACGACCACGTTTCGGGTAGAATGATGAGCTCAACAACATCACAGGGTCTAGTCATGATCATCAAGGAAAATCCACTCGCCAAAGCCCTTGCTGCCTTCTGATTGAAGGATGATCCGCGGACGTTGTTCCGTCGGCTCTGGGGAACTTTCCCGAAATGAAGAATCTAGCGGCGATCTGAAACGCCCTATGCCTAAAGGAGCGTGAAGAATACCCCGGGGTAACCTGCCCGCCAGAGCGGCGTGCATTATCCTACAGAAGATTTGGCGCTGTATGTCCAGTCTCGCTCGCCCAACTTTCTTGATATGGTGACGCCTTTCAGAAGCATGACGACCAAAGTTTTACGTATCTTTGATGGCGCCTTATGGCGCAAAGAGGTGGCGGCGACGACGGATTTAGCCTTATTTTCTACTCGGCTTCGGAACTCTAAAAGAGACCATATAAGATGCTGCTGATCTCATCGGATTTCTGTCTGATACTCGCTTGATTTCCAGCAACCTCCAAAATAACGTCCTTCAGGGCCTCATTCATTTCTTCGAGACTATCAACGGACATATCTTCGAATGAAAATACTGATTCCAACCCGGAGGGCGCCCCGTCTGGGGAAGACAGAACCCACTGGTGACTAGTAGTCGATTGACCCGAAGCTCCAACGACAGGCCTTGGATCAGGCACACGTACTGGAATCTGTGAAGATCTTGCCTCCTTCATGCAGAGAGCGGGTCGAGATTCATCCTGCAACGCCCCTAGTCGAGAGCGGTTGCTTACTCTTGGCGGCGTGGTATATCGCTCATCATGTCCTGATTCATGCTTGACATTTCCTTCATGGATCGTATATAAAAGCCCTTCTCCGGCCCCCTCGATCAAATTCAAACCCATCAACTGCAGGCCAGTCAGAAAATTTCCCACACCCTCCTTCAACCACAGTCCTTCCAAGACAGCCCTTCAATTGCCCCCTCTGCTTCATCATGTTTCAACGCGCACTTTTCTTCTCTGCCTTGATGGCGAGCGTGGGTGCCCAGCAAGTGGGAACCCAAAAGGCTGAAACCCATCCGCCACTCACCTGGAAAGAGTGCACCTCTTCTGGATGCACCAGCAAAGATGGCTCCGTGGTCATTGATGCCAACTGGCGTTGGGTTCACTCAGTAGACGGCTACCATAACTGCTACACTGGGAACGAGGTCAGTATGGGAGAATCACCAAGTTCCATCCGACATCTGGACATGTACACTGACGTTCGCTGCCATTGTTATTAAATAGTGGGATGCAACTCTCTGCCCCGACGATGCGACCTGTGCCACTAACTGTGCCGTAGACGGCGCAGATTATGCCGGCACCTATGGCGCTACCACTTCTGGAGATTCTCTGTCCATCAGCTTCGTGACCGGGTCCAACATTGGCTCACGTTTCTATCTCATGGAAAATGAGAACAAGTATCAGATGTTCAAGCTTCTGAATAAGGAATTCACTTTTGATGTTGACGTGGCCACTCTTCCTTGTGGCCTCAATGGTGCTTTGTACTTTGTGTCCATGGATGCAGACGGTGGTCTGTCCAAGTATGAGACCAACAAGGCGGGTGCCAAGTACGGCACAGGCTACTGTGACTCCCAGTGCCCGCGTGACTTGAAATTCATCAACGGAAAGGTACGAGTCTCGAATTCATACCTGCAATTAACCTTGACGGCTGACGCTTTTAAAAATTAGGGTAATGTCAAGGGTTGGAAGCCGTCTGCCAACGACAAGAATGCCGGTGTTGGCCCCCACGGCTCTTGCTGTGCCGAGATGGATATCTGGGAGGCCAACAGCATCTCCACCGCTCTGACTCCTCACCCTTGCAGCACTGATGGTCAGACCATTTGCGAGGGTGACAGCTGCGGCGGAACCTACTCCACTACCCGATATGCCGGCACTTGCGATCCCGATGGCTGCGACTTCAACCCCTTCCGCATGGGTAATGAGTCTTACTATGGCCCTGGCAAGGTTGTCGACACTAAGTCAAAGATGACGGTCGTGACTCAATTCATCACCACTGACGGAACCGACACTGGAAGCTTGAAGGAGATCAAGCGCGTCTACGTTCAGAACGGCAAAGTCATCGCCAACGCCGTCTCCGATGTCAGCGGTGTCCCCGGCGACTCGATCACCTCGGACTTCTGCACTGCCCAGAAGAAGACTTTTGGTGACCAGGACGTCTTTGCCGAAAAGGGTGGTCTGTCCGGCATGGGTAAGGCCTTGGGAGAGGGCATGGTCCTGGTAATGAGCCTATGGGATGACCACAACTCCAACATGCTCTGGCTCGATGGCGAGAAGTACCCTGTCGATGCTGCTGCCACCAAGGCTGGTGTCAGCCGTGGTACTTGCAGCACTGATTCTGGAAAGCCCTCCACAGTCGAATCTGAATCTGGCTCTGCCAAGGTCGTTTTCTCTAACATCAAGGTTGGCTCCATCGGATCTACCTACTCCAAGTAGGCGAGAGGACGCTGCTGGCTTCAATATTGGATTGCTGCAACGGTGTACCAGCTGAAAGTATGATGAACGAATGTTTGAAATTAGAGAATTGATTCGAGGCCGTTGATCGGTGTCTTTATTTATGTTCTTTTGTTTAAATGCATCAAGATATTATCTTCCATCACATGGTCTGCCGCATTTCCAAGTATCCTTTGGTGAGTAGGTTGAATCTCGGGCGAGATTGAACGTGAGACAAATTGGACAACTGTTCTCATTTGGAATATTGAGAAGCGATCGCACTGTGAACATTTCTTACCAGCTAGATTTGATGCTTTGAAATCCAACACTTTGAAACATTAGCCCCAACACACGGGAGATGTGACGGGCTAAATTTTAGCGTAAAGTTAGTCTGCACTCTAAGACGTGAGATTCTTGTTGGGACTCGACGCCAAACAACGAGGGTTTTGCATGATATTTGCTATCGAATCACGAGCGAATCTTTCAACTTATGCGGAAGAAGAACATGGGACCAGTTAGCACTGTAGATGCGATGCCACGCGCAGTCCCAAGGCGGTGGCGGGGGTTCCAATGGTTGTAATGATTTGAAGTCCGACGGTCCCAGTACTTCACTGCGGAAGATCCTCGGCCCGGTCTCCGCAAAAAAGAAAAACAGTGAAGCTTCCAATATATCCTGCAAGATCGCGCATTTGAGACTCAGGCAGTCGTTGTCAATCGCATTTACCGAATTACCTTTGTGACTGCCTTTCTAGCTCAAGGTCCAAGTCACAATGCTGGACACCGTCTGCTCATTACCACTATCCTCAGACCTGTTCTCTCAGGCGATTCACCCAAATGAGCCAGTAGTGTCAGTTGGCCTGGCTTCTGGCCATGTGCAAACTTTCCGATTGCCGCACGATGAAATTGATTCTGACGATGGTGCTTCAACTTCATCTTCCCGCAATGGCAAAGGACACATTGATACGATGTGGAGGACAAGACGGCACAAGGGCAGCTGTCGGTGTCTTGGATTCAGTGTTGACGGAGAGATGCTGTACTCTGCCGGTACTGATGGCTTAGTCAAGATGGCCAACTCAGAAAGTGGACAGGTGCAGAACAAGATTGCAATTCCTCTGGAGAGCAATGGGTATGTTACTTATATGCTCTCTGTTGACACCTCATTACTGCGCGCCCTTTGGCTAACGCATTCACTCTGTGATGACACAGGTCGATCGATGCGCCTACCGTCATCCATGCGCTCTCTCCTCAAACGCTTTTGCTCGCGACTGACTCCAGTGCCCTGCATCTCTACGACCTTCGCGTACCATATTCCAAAGTGTCCGCGCGACCGGAGCAGTCTCACCATCCGCACGATGACTATATCTCCTCTTTGACTCCCCTTCCCGCGTCCGAGACGAGCACCTCGGGTTTCAGCAAGCAGTGGGTGACAACGGGCGGAACCACACTGGCGGTGACTGATTTGCGCCGGGGCGTGCTCGTCCGCAGTGAAGACCAAGAAGAGGAGTTGGTCAGCTCAGCATTCATTGGTGGGTTGCCCTCCAGTGGAACCAGTCGTGGGGAGAAGGTGGCTGTCGGAGGTTCCAATGGCATTGTGACTCTGTGGGAGAAGGGGGCCTGGGACGACCAGGACGAGCGAGTGTACGTGCAGCGCGATGCTGGCGGTGGAGAAGCGATTGAGACCCTGGTCACCGTACCGGATGACATGGGTATGGGCAAAATGCTGGCTGCTGGTCTTGGTAACGGGTTGATCAAATTCATCCGTGTCGGACCGAACAAGGTCGCCTCCGAGGTGGTTCACGACGAGACCGAAGGCGTGGTTGGTATCGGGTTCGATGTTGAAGGTCGTATGGTCTCGGGCGGTGGTCAAATTGTCAAGGTCTGGCATGAAGCTGCCGGCGGCGACAGCTTGGGTAAACACATGATGGATAGCGACGACAGCGGCGACGAGTCCGACGATAGTGATTCTGAGCAGAAACGAAAAGCAGCTGCGAACACGAACGACCGCAAGAAGCGGAAGAAGGGCAAAGCTGGCCGTGGTACCGGACCTGACGTTATTGCTTTCGACATGGATTAGATTGGAAGGTGATTCTCTTTTTCCTCAGTCGCGGTTGCTATTATCTGATACCCATACTACCCGTTCCAGAAACATCTTCGAGTTTCAATCATATTATAACAATGGTCCTCCACGGACGAATAGTTCAAGTCATTATGCCCTGTAGGAACTCGATGAAAGCATATAGGGTGTCGATATTCAGGCTTCTTGGGCAATTTGCATTCCCATTGACAACGTTGCTGAAGATTTGAAGCCCGGTGACTGTCAAATGTGGCAAACGCTGATGGAGACCTTCATCGAAGCCGCCGGGCCCGGAGTGAGGCTGAAAAGCGGTGATCCAGCTTGGTGGGAGATTACCAATTTCCAGTGCCGTTTCGTCACAGACGCGGGTCCGGCGGCCGAAAAGTGCATCTAGGGACGAACGTATTGTGCTTGATACACTCATCTAGAAAGCCTACAGGCCAAGGTAATAATCAGTCCTATAGTCTCTACTTTACGTTAGCTGCAGTTCTCAGGGGCGTATGTCCAGATTGAGTAGACTATATCGATTCTTACTGGTCTTCTGGATGGTCTTTTTAGACCAACTTTTCGAATGGCCTTTCTTTAGAACATCATTCGACAAATCTTCGTAAAATTGCGTTCGTTCCTGGGTGCACTTATCGGCCTTTGTACCGCGCGGCGCGGGGCAGGCGGGGAACTGATTTTCTGCCTCTCTTTTTTTTTTCCCTTATGCTGATCCCCACTCAGGCCATAGCACAAACTTCTCTTTCAACCGATTCCCGTGAGCGGACAGACTCACTACTACACTTGTAATGGAGGCAGCGCCCGTCTTGTCCACTCCCGATGATCGCATTCTAGAGGCTACCGAGCCTGTCGTCGCCCTCGAGAAGCAGCCGCTTACCGACGATGAACTTTCCATTACCTACGACATTGAGCGGACGCTGAGAGAGATCCGTCAAGCGCGCTACAGGCGCATCGCTCTCCAGTTCCCTGATGATATGCTTCCGGATGCGCCAAGGGTATTTCAGCTGCTCAGCCGCGGTCTAAAGTCTGAGACGATTACTGCAACGAACGGAAAGACGACCAGCAACGCCAACGAAAATGATCCAGGCTCAAAAGTCGGCCTATCTCAGTCAGTGTCTCAGTTGTCTGTGGCAGACGACTCAGACGTTTATTCCCCACGACTTACCATCCTCGCCGATACATCTTACGGTACATGCTGTGTGGACGAGGTGGCTGCAGAACATGTGGATGCAGATGTCATTGTACACTATGGTCGATCTTGTTTATCACCAAGTGCAAGGCTACCTGTCATCTATGTTTTCACGAATAAACCTCTGGCTCTTGAACCCCTCGTGAAGGCTTTCAAGGCGACGTATCCTGACTTGGCCACCAAGGTGGCGCTGGCAGCTGATGTGACTTTTGCCAGCCACGTTCCTGAGCTGCATATGCGCCTGCACCAAGACGGTTATGTCAACTTGTTTGCAACCGAGGTGGTTCACAATCCCTCGTCGCCAATTCCCAACCGTACTGTGCCTGACTCGGTCGCGTCGGTACCGGAGACGCTGTCAGATTGGCAGCTATTCCACATCTCCGATCCTCCTACTGCTTTACTCTTAACTCTCGCTTCACGAGTGGCCGCCATTCACATCTATCCGACAGACCAACCTCATGACGCCGATGTGAAGCCACTGCCAACGTCCACTTCGGCTGCGCTGGGTCGTCGCTATGGGATTATCACTTCCTTGAACACAGTTCCAATTTGGGGCATCTTGATCAACACTCTCAGCGTCAAGAACTATCTGCACATCGTGGATCATGTGAAGAAGCAAATTGCTGATGCCGGTAAAAAGAGCTATATGTTCGTTGTCGGAAAACTCAACGCGGCCAAGGTTGCGAACTTTAGCGAAATCGGCGGCTGGGTGGTCATTGGCTGCTGGGAGAGCTCGCTCGTTGATAGCAGAGATTTCTGGAAGCCTGTCATTACGCCCTTTGAATTGGAATTGGCTCTTCAGAGCGACGCTGAGCGAGTTTGGACCGGGTCATGGCACAGCAACTTCCAAGAAGTTCTTGATAAGCCAGCCCAGGCGAAGTCTACGGACGGCGATGGACAAGTGAACCCCGACGGTGTGCAAGTGAATGAGGAGGAGGATGATGATATGTCGGAACCCGAGAGCGCACCACCCGAGTTTGATCTACGCACCGGACGATATGTCTCTCATTCCCGTCCAATGCGGGATCCCGCACCCCGGCCTTCCGCTCCCATCGACGGATCGGTAGCAGATGGGCCGTCTGCTGCGAGAGCTCTGGCACGAAGGGCCAAGGGCGACTTGGCAATGATCGGCGGGGCGGTCTCGCCAGGGGCCCAATACTTACAGTCCCAAAGAACTTGGAAGGGGTTAGGCAGTGATTTTGACATTCGATACGAAGAGGACGGAGATGATGCATCAGACAGCACGCTTGTAAAAGAAGGGCGCAAAGGCATTGCTAGGGGCTATACCGTGGGCGAATTGGGCGAGAAGCATTGATTCTAGCGCCCGCTTTGGACCCTGGCGGCTGGAGGCTGGTTTTTAGGAAAAGCCTCCTTAGTGGATATTACGGGCTATTTGTAACTAGGCATAAAATAGAACATGCAGAATAGACAATAGACTTTAAGAGGTCTTTGTGGTTTGAATTGAATTGAGGTATCACCCCTACAATATCGCCCTCTCTCTCCAGACCGTGTGTGGTTGTGAAATTGCAAGCATTGTCTCAACACTGAGTAACTTTCCTGCATTCACATGTTGCGATAGGTGGTTGTTGGGGTCTATCACATGACGCTTTGCCTATCTCACGGGCGCATTGGACGCAAGTGGATTCGTTCTCGAACTGCTCATCACTTCAGTCTCAGACTCTCGACGGGGCGAGAGCAGGTCTCGTAGACCTTATTTTCCCAATCCTTGTTTGCTTTAAACCGGTTGGATTCAATCTACTTACTTTATCATCTTCCCTTGCAAGTCTCATTCTTTTTCTCATTATTCTTTCCCCTCATTCCCCCTCGCTGACACATCGGGTTACGGACCCGCGCTCAACCCTTGCGATTCACGTCTTATCGATTGGCAAACAGCCCGACGCTTCTGGCCTTGCATGGTAGCTTCTCTGAGATGTGATTGCTTCGGTGGCTTTCGTAACCTTGACACGACTTATCATGAGCTGGGATCTGATTCAGCTCCTTGACGATCTCTCATCGTCTCTCCTTTCGACCTGAGCTGATAGCAGTTGAAGGGTGCGACAGCACAAGAGGGCATCGTGATCCACTCACGCGAGCTCAGCGCCTAATCGCCGCTTCGTATCCATCGCCATCATGGCCCTTGCAACGGGTGAAACTCAGCAGGTGCAGCGGCCGCAACAATCTATCGAAGCTGCTCAGCAAAGGGCCGGAGTGCCAGCTGAGAGAGTGCTATCCCTCTTCGAACGAGTCATAACGACAAACGCGCCCATATTCGAGTCTCTCCTCCTCCAAATTCCGACCGACACGATTTTCGCTCTCTATCATACCTCATCATATCTTCGGAAGTTTCTCCAATCGTATCCCACTGCGTGGAAGTCGCTTTCTTTTCGATTACTATGTCCAACGGGCACCGTTTCCAACCGGGTGATTATCCCGGGTATCTCAGAACCAGAAACTCAGCGTCAATCGCGACCATATGCGCTGGATCAGCTCCTACTGAACGTTGTGGTACCTTTCAGTCGATGTCTTCGGAGTCTGGAGCTGGATAACACAGCCGTCTCGGGCCAGATCCTCATATCGACTGTGTTGCACGCGCAGAGGGAGACTCTGGAACACTTGTCGGTCCGGGGTTGCAAAAACGTGTCGCTCAAGTACCACATCATACCTTACTTGACAATGTTCGGGTTGCAGTATGATATCGATATGGAGAGAAGCGTCGGGAGCTCCTCGGGCACGAAACGGCTTGCGCTCAAGAGTCTTTATGCCTACCGTTGCCGACACCACCGACGTCGGCCCTATCTATCGGCGTCGCTTCTTCGCAAGGATTCGGACTCGGAACCAACACATGACCTAGTGAATCTCTGTCACAAGCTAGGTATCTGGACGGATACTGCTTGGTGTACGACGCCCGCGGGGAGATGTTTCCGGCGACGAGGCTATGTGTCAATGCGTGTCCCACAGGGTTCACCGGAAGTATGGGTTGTTTTCGACCGGCTCTGGCGAAGTAAGAATTGGATTGGGCGCATCGACGCCAAGTTAACACCATCCCAGGCCTTTGATGGGAAGTTATGGGAGAATCGCGAGACTGGGTGCTGCGGCGAGGCTCTGGGTACTGGCGACGGACCTGAGCTGGGGGAAGGGAAAATGACACCCGCGCACCTGCGCCAGAGTCATAAACAATTCATACAAAACGTGAAGTGTGACAATTGCTTCACTGAGATTTCAGAGCGGTGCGAACAGTGCAGTATCCTCATGCACTGTGTCGGGTGCCGTCGTACATTGTGCGCGAGCTGTGCCTATGAGCGCCCATATCTCCCACGAGGACACTCGAGGGCAGGTGCCTCTGATAATGTCGGCAGTCATGAGCTTTCTTCTTCGCACTCCTTGTGGTGGGCTCCAGGGGCAACGCACTCACCGAGTTCGATGCAGGATCCAATGTCAGATCCACTCGAGGTCAATGATAATGTTCACGCAGCGGCGCAAGCAGTGCAACCGGCCCTCAAGTTTCACTGGTGCTGTACGGAGCCGATCTTCTCAGGAGGTGGAGGGATCAGTATCGGATCACCCAGCCGAGACATAGATCAAGTACGGGCTGTTCCTCTGCCTCGCGGTCAAGGTTGGGAGGACCTTGAATATACTGTCAGCGAGTGGAGCAAGACTTTTCCCAAGTACGCCTATGGAGACCCCACCAAACCAGACTATTCATTGGAAACAGGTCACCTCGCCATGATGAAGTGGTTACTCGGGCCACCGAACCGACATGTTTCCCCTTGTCCACGCAACCTGTGCCAAGATTGCTACGACTCGCCGCAATGGAAAGTCCACTGCAAGAGTTGTTCCAAGCCGCTCTGCATTGAGCATGACCTTCGTGGGCTGAGACTTCGCATTTGCGGCTACAGAGACCTTGCGTTCGAGAAAATGACCATCCAAAACCGACAAGGACAACGCGTAATGCCGGATTCATCTCTGAATGATCAGCTTCAAGGCTACGATCTTCCCTTCCGGACACATCGGGGGAACGACTCGACAAACAGTAGCTTTATCGACGATCTGCATGACGATGCAGCCACAAATGACGCACCAGTCGCTGTGCCAGCTGAGCGAGGTGGTCGTAGCAGCAGCGGGACTGTTCATCCACTCTACGCCCGTAGCCATACTCGCTCACTCTCCGCTCCATCTGCTCCGCCATCTAACCATTCTGGGTCATCTTCTCCGACCTCTGTGTCCTCGGAATCCCCCTTCGAGGCGCACCGGTGGCAGGGATGTCAGTCTTTTTTCTGTCCTCAAGTTCGGGCGCTGGGAGATCAGCGTCAGCGATGTCCGAGCTATCTGCGCGAGTGTAAAGCCTGTGCAGTGTACGTATGCCAGGACTGTGTTCAAGCGTATCCTCCGTGCAAGTGCTCCTATTGCGAGGAAAACTATCTCTGCCCAAACTGCATGAAATTGCGGGCTCGTGATGGAACATGTCGCCGTCGCGACGAGGAGAAGGCCCGAAGGGAGCGAAAATGGAAGAAGGACATGCAGGTCCTTGAAAGTATCCTGGAACTTAAGGTTGCCAATGAAGTTGCCGAATATGCAGGTCAATTCTTCGGCTCTGTTGACGACCTTGACGACTCTGTCACTCGTTTACCTGCTCACGACGACAATGTGGCTGAGGGTATCGTGCTTGGTGACCTAGATGCTCCCTCCTCGGGTTTGCCTACTGGTCTGGCTTCGAGCACGGTCTTTTTCGCCGACAGTTCTGTTGGCGCGCAGGATGAATCGGACACAAATCGTGATCTCTGACCTGTCACGACTTCTGCGCCGCGGTGGCTCGAGAGTGGAGTGTTTCTGCTTGTTTTATCCCACCAACATTTAGCGTTATTTGCATTTATTGCATTCTCTAGACGAGAAACCTGCCTGCTATCGTCTCGTCTTCCCCCTCATTCGTACTTGATTTTCTTTTACTTGGAATTCCTTCTATCCTCGATGTCCTTCGTTTTTTTCAATATGCATGGTCAGGGGCGCATTCTATCTGCTACTCGGGCCTTCGGCGACGGGCCTCTAGGTGTTTCCACGTCATTGCGATTCTTTCACCCCTCGAGCAATCAGTCGTGCATCTGCGCCATATCATTGACGGCTCATCCTACTTTCATAAGAGGAACCGGCAGCTCGGCCGGATCTTACTTCGTTCACATCTACTAAAGACAAATCTATCACTTTTTTTTGCCGAAATGGCTGCGCAACTGATCTTTATACATCACTGAGCTCTAGCCCAAGACACTGGTCTTTGTGTTTCGGGCACCTCCACATTGCATAGCCAGCTTGACTAACATAGATTAGCACAAGGGCTTAGGTACTTTCGGACTTTAAGTGATGAAGATCAATTCGGAGAATGATAGGCCAAGCACTCAAACTTCGGCTGTCATTTCGAGCCGTTTTCATCTGGCTGGCTTTTCGACTTTGGTACTTGTTGCTTCACCGACAGCCTTGGCTCATGGGATCTGTTGGTTGATCAATCTGGCGTAGGTAGATCATATGGTGTATGCCGACATGTGAGTCTCGACATGGTATTGTAAGTAGTATCCGAACTTGTTTGGCTACTCTCTCCGGCTTTTCTCGGGCTCCCGCCCAGTTGATCCTCATGGCCATCCGCTTTGACCAACTCAGACAGGTCGTCACAAAATCTAGGAAGTTACACTGCACAATGTCTTGGGCCATGGATTCCTGAATGCAGGAGGCACTGTCTCCAAAATGGCCCGCTGCATCCTGACATTGAGGCGGTAGCAGCCATGTAGCACTGGGGCTAGGTAAGGTAGCAGTCCATGAATCCATGATAATTCATCTATTTTGATTCCACCCAGGTAGTCATTGCGATATGTCATATCGCCTCACTTTCGCATGTCAGAATCCACGACCTCGATTGTTTCTCGAGGGCCCTAGGCAGAGCTACAGGCCGCTAGCCACAAACCATGACCTGAGCACATGCCACTGCTGATCATCATATGGAGCGTGGTCAAGACTCGCGCTTTAGCAGACTGAGACCTCTCGAGGGCGTTAGTACCCACATGAACATCATGCCCGGGCGCACATGAACAGTAAATTTTGACACCTGCCAACCTTAATTGGCTGGGAACGGTGCGCTCACACAGAGGGTAGATATTCCAAGCGATACATCGAAAGGAAAAAGAAAAGAAGGAGTCCGTCTTCGATTTTGGCCGTGACACAGTAGTGATTTGGTGGACGTGATAATGGCGGTAGTAGGAGACCCGCTCGGACTAATTGATTCGATTTTGTTGAAATCCTGTCGTTGAAGAGTCTCGTCCCAGTGGATGCTATTAGGTGCTTACTAGCTTATGTGGTGGAGTGTGCGTGGAGTCTCTTGAGGGACAGATCATAAAATTCAGAGTCAAGACACTCGGGCAATAGGTTCGTGATCGTGAGCTTTAAATGACCTCTTCGATTGAGTTGGTACCGTAGTTCAGTCGATACTTGAATGGCTACCTACATTCAGTTGTACACTAGATCAAGGTTGATGATTGAGACGAATAGTGTTATGAATGTAATTGCAAACGTGAAAACAATGGACGAAAAGGCAAAGAAGACTCAACATGCCAAAGACTCATGTAGAAAGGCAGTATGTAGATAGTTATGAAGCCTGCGTACTTTATCACTTAGTGTCGATTATCAGGACATCACCAGCCTCATGGATGTGACCAACGTTTATTGAAGAACGTGTCGCTTCTACGTTGCAAGAAGAACGGATTTGACCTGGCATCTTGAAATGATAGGCGTGACTCTTAGTTAATCACTGGAGTCAGACAATGGGATTTTTGTTTTCCTGTGGATAAGAGCGAAAGCCAATGATTGTCGTTTCTTGCCCCACTAGCCCTTCCCAGCATGTTGCCATGTACAGACTCTACACTTCTACAGTACATCGAGAGACTTGAGGACAATCATGAGCCCAACTGCCTCAGAGCAGGCATTTCCCGACACGGTGGGGACAACAATGCTGTATAATTGCACCGCGGTATCACGTTCCCCACTTGTCGCCTAGAGGGTAGTAATCAGAGGCGATACGACTACTTAGTAGGTAGTAGATATGTCCCTGGTGCTTACCCTTTGATTGATGTGTCCAAAAGTACCCTTATTGTCAAAGAGTGGTCCCGAAGACCCGGGACTACCTTGATGTACCTGTCTAAAAGATAGAGTCAAGTTTCAGTATTGCGGAATCCGTTTCCGCTGTTCCGGGGCAGAGTTAGTGAGGTACCGCGGATCATATGTGGAGAATCTTGGCCATCAATATCCGTTGATATGAACTCCATCAGATAGTCTATGCAATTCATGAGACTGTATTTCTGGTCAGTTGTCTAACCAATAGCAGAGTGATCTGCTGCCGATCAATGAGCACAAGCCAATTAAGCCACTGCAGACATTACTTGAGTAACGCGCTTTGGCAGGGAGATGAGTGAACAGCATTCAGAACAATATACCTGGGAAACTTTGACAACGTATTGACTTCACCGGCTGTGTGGTAGATTGATTCGTAGGCGGGAGATCAGTCCCCTGCACATCATGTTAGGATAAGAAGTGTAGGTAGGTATCCATTTTTCTTATCTCCGAAGGAGACTCTAAGAAGTCAAAAAAAGTGATCTCCTAGCACTCAAAAGCCACGGTACCTGATCACAAATTGCACCTATCGATTCATTTGTTAGACTGAAGCTTGACAAGTTCACTAAGCGGAGGTGGCTGAAAGGGGGAGTTCACCGGGGTTCGCTTGATTGTCTTGTCATACCTAGCAAGTCATGGAGGTCTCATCAGAGGGAGATCTGAGTCCGACGTTCCTCACCTAAGAGAGAGAGAGAGAGAGAGAGAGAGAGAGAGAGAGTGTGCGTGTGTGTACTGTGTAGTTCACAACTGTACTCTGTAAGTGTGTAGTGCCGCCCTCTGGGGCAAGCCAGAGACGGCTTTCGGCTAGACTATCCCAAGAGCTACTGGAAACTGACGGATACCCTTGCTGGGAGGTTGACCTTGTTTCAGATACGAGGCTGGCTGCAGCACCAAAAGTCAACGGTCAGGCACGGGTGAACAGGTCCTGTTTGTCGAGGTCAAGCAGCCAGGGCACGGGCATTTCCAGCTGAGCTTTTATCATTATCGTCAAACCATCTTCGACAAAACACCAGTTTATTGTGGAATATGTCAACCCAGATATTGAATGTTGTGATGTCGTCAGATCTCATCCCAGACTGCTTCGGCGGTGAGGAATATGGATGGCACATGATTCAAGGCCCAACGTTGGCAGCCATTTAAGATATCCCGACGTTTCACCGGTGGGATCAGGTGGCCACTCGGCACGAGCCTCTCTGGCTCTGGTGTTATTCAGCTCGATGCTGTCCCACATACCAGTGAGATGGTTGAACCTTAAACGGAACCAAGTGTCGGCGCTGAGCACCCGACGCAAGCCATGACTCGTAAATGACAACGTCGCAGCGTGGCCGACGCCTGCTGGCGTAGCAGGCGGCAAGCACCGACAATCGTCACTTTCACCTTCCGCTTCTTCCATCCTTTTCTTGAAAATCCACCTCGTCACGGAGAGGGTCGCCGCAAATAACGCGGCCGTCAGCCCAGTCGCATTGTCAATGCTCCTACACCTCCGACCCGTTCTCTCCGTCGATGACGGCTTTGCACGTGAGATTGTCGGTCGCCTGACCATCACGCGACGGTCCGATTGAACTGTTTCCTCCGTCAATTTTCTTCGCTCGTCATCGTCGTCCAACGTTGGACACATACGTGGCTTCGTGTCTTTGGGCCATGACGACAAATGCGATCAGAAAAGAAACACTACGTCGGACCGATGTTCCTGACGGAGATCCAGTCAGACGCGAGGGTGGACACTTCAGGTCCGCCCACGTGGATTCTCGATGCGAGTTGCAACACTTTCCACCGGAGGTGCCCTCCGTCATGCCCCGAGGGCCCGGCGGTGAACTGCGCATAGTCCTACATTATTGTAAAGGGAACGGAATTGGACGACACTGCGCAGCAGGTGCTAGCGCCTTGGGGAATTCCGCAGCAGGTCGTAACATGTACCTCGTCAGATCACCTCCTGCCTACGTGCCCGTGGGGCTCCCGGTCGGCATCTATCTACCAGCACTTCAACGGTGGCTTGGGTCCTGAAACGCATGCTTCCTGGCCCGCGACAGCCGAGAAGGCTGCTGTACTTACTTTGGGTTGAAGGTCACAGATCGGATGGATCGGACGCCTATCGCCTTTAGATCAACCCAACCCAAGTCTTCGGAGCCGGACCCGAACCATCATTGGATGCTTCAGCAGATCTCCTGCGCAGCAACGCGCCAAGAACAAAGCATGGCGTCTGTAGTTCGTGCTCCTCTCGTCTTGATCGGATTCAATAAGCTGTCGGGGGCTCGGGGCTGATGGCTGTGAAGAGCTCGTGGATCCCGTGGGACCGTCTTTGTGAACCACGCCAACTGATCATCACTTTCTTCGACCAACGATGAAGATGACCGAAAAGATAAACAAGAAACTGCAAGATGAGACCAAAGAAAAACACAAAAAGGTTTTGCCCCCCCCCAGCACCCAAACCGTGGCAACGAGTCCAGCAGCATGCTTCACGAGAAATAGATCCGACAAGCACAAGTGTTCGACGAAGGTGCAGTGCAGAACTTGTCCGGCAGTCCAAGGAGGTCTAGGACAACTTTGGAACGGCGGGCACGGAAGTTGGGATTACTTCTCCCCGATTGGTACGGGTTGTTTCTCTCGAAGAGGGCCCATCTGGAAGAGATCCCATT